CATTTGAAAAGGTAAATACTTTTTTGAAAGTTTTGAAAATAGATACCAATGGAAACAACATTGTTTCTAATACTAACGATAATACTATATCTAATGATAATACTATATCTAACGATAATACTACCTTTAACGATTCACTACCTAACAACACCACTTCTAATAATAATTTACCACCTAATGAAAATGTTTTTAATAATAACTTACCACCTGATAACAACGCTTCTCCTTATCTTGCTGCTAATGTCAGTACTCCTCAATATCATTCAGTTGCATCACATTCACCTCAAAAAATCACCAGCCCTTACCAACCTCCCAATAAAACTAATGATGATGATGATTCATCAGATTTATCCAAAAGTATTAGAAATATTCAAAAAATATTTGCAAGAATGAGTAGTACACGAAAATAATCAAAACAGAATGTACAATCACAACAGTCCCCTCTTTCACGCTAGCAATCCTACACCAAACAAGCATCACCTTGTATGAATCTCCTTGACATGCATCACATTCTATTGAACGTAAAAGATCATTATCGCCACAGTGTTTATGAGGAAGTTCACAATTATAATCACGTGATCAGCAATCATCTAATTAAAACTATTCACGTAATCGAGATGGTATATAAGTCTTTTTTTTTTCCACTTCAGATATCAGATTCTACTTTTTTTTTTTTTGTTTTGTTTTGAAAAAACTTTTTTTTTTTTTAATTAAACCTAAGAATATTCCCAATATCACCACCAAGTTGACAAAAAGCTCTTCAAGCAAAACTAGTAGCTTTTTATTTTGTTTAAAGAGCTCTGCGATGATATAAAAGAGATTAAAGCTGAATTGAGAAGGCAGCAGGAAGAGCACAAAAATGATATCTCACCCCAAGTTTTAGACATAGGTGTTTGAGTTTATTTACCAAAGTATGGAATATTAAGATATTTAGCATTTGGAAACTAAATGAAATTTCTAGAGAATATTTACTGGCGTTGTGAAGCGTTTGTTTCTGTATAATATATACCCCAACCAAAATACACTAAAGAAAGCCTTTAGAACCTACCTTGAGGAGAAGTTTCCTAATTATATGAGAAATATAGGTGAAAATCTTTATACTAATCGTTTTCACGGCAAATGGTGCAGTTTGGTATGTTATACATTAGTTATCGTTAACGTTCGTTATTATATAGTTTCACGAATTGTTTTTTTTCTGTATATTATTTTTACAATTCAATAGCTCCTTCAAAAAATGAAAAATCATCGAGGTGCTGTGCTACAAAGTGTAAGGTCAGCAATATGGCAGGTTTTTGGTTCTGAGCAACTACCTCTCTTGCGAAGTAACGCTGCTGCTGCTGCAATTGTAAAATAGAAAAAAAGCCCAGAAGTAGATGATTGCTATTGCTTACTTTTTAAGTTAAGAATTAACAATATAGCTTGAATAACCACTATTGCAAGATTGGTATTTTCTGAGATCACTGTTCCCAATCTAAGCTCTGAACATTGTGCATTTGCGTTTACCATTTGCGATATTCTTCTAAGTTCCTGATCTAAAAGTGTAGTATGCTCCGAAAAGCATATAACACACTGCATCGAGCGTTATCTTGTAAGTATTCGTTATGTATCATTTTAAAATAATCATTCATATAATAAGCAATAATATTTTCTTAATTAAATATAGAAAGATTTTAATAATGGTGGTCCTTCTTATTCGTCTGCTGAATTAATATTAAATAATGAATTAGAGGCTTCCTGTGATGAATAAACAATCCCTAAACCTGAAAACTATGCGAATTCTCATGGCGAAAACTCATATTCTCGAGGAAATTCAATACAAATATCGCAGAATGAGCTAGATGACTTGTTTTTATAAGTGAATTAGTATTGTAGTTTTTTAGTATAGCACTTTATTAGCAATATGTATCGC